ATATTATAAACAGAGACATAAACAGATGGACGGACAGAAAGAAAATAAACACATACATACTCGTATCTTCACAATTCATGGTTAGAATTACCTACCTAAAATTTAAACACTTTGTTTCAATGAGTATGGACTGGATGAGTGAACATTATATTATATGCACATTAAACTGTCTAAAGATTAAGGCAAGCGTTATATGTAAGTATATTTACCATAACTCCATGTAAAAATGTCGGTAGCACATAACTGTAAAGTTTAGAATATTGTTTTGGCGACGCCATGACTTTGGGCAGTTCACTGGCTCTATATTGTGCGTCTAGACTAATCAGTACAAATATTAATAAGTTTATAAATTATTTAGTCGCTTTTAATAAAAAGCTAACACTTTGACTAGCTTTTTATGATGTCAGAGAAATGTTAGAAAGTTTATATAGTTCTGATTTAATGCATAACTACAACAAGTCCACGTCTATTGAGTTTTGAATAGTAAGAAAACTGCATTTACACAGATATGAGGATGAAATAAATTTTTTATATTTTCAGCTGCGATAAAGTCTAAAGCAGTTCGCATCATTTGTTATGAATTATCATTTTTTGATCGTTCTAATTTTTTCAAATTTGGAATTTAAGCAGTAACCTTGACTTTGCATTCTTATTATTTTCTCTTTCTGAATGGTGTATTTTCTGTTAAATCAAATTTTTCAAATTTATATAAAAAATTTCAATATAATAGTATAAAACTTCTTATGCTAAGGTGCCTCACATCCGATGTTTCCTCAATTGAAAATAAAGAGTCTGGTAACTGAAAACTTCGGTGCGTTTGCAAACTTAGATTTTAAATTTTTTAAATACTCGTATTTTATCATTTTCAAATCATTAATTTATAGCAATTTTCCGAATATAAAAAAATTAATATTTGTAGTACCTTCCATACAAGTTTTAATAACGCTTTCATTAATTAAATTTCCTCCGAAAGAAAATTCTTGAATCGTTTTTGATTTTTTTGAACATTTTACAATTTGTTCTAATTCAACTGCCGCAAACATATTATTTTCAATATTAACAATTTCAAGACTTTTATTGTATTTTAAAGCGCTGCTTAGTGGATTAGAACATTTTCCTATCAATCCATTCCAACTCAAATCAATTTGTAATAGAGAAACATTATTTTTTAATCCCGAACATAACTTACTAAATCCTTTCTCAAAATACAAATTGTTCCATGATAAATTCAAATATTTTAAAGTTGAGTTTAATGCTAATGCTTTCCCCATTTCAATACCAAATTGATTTTCCAATTTATTGTGTTTTAAATTAAGTTTATAAATAGAATCATTAGTTTGTAAAATATCAGCAATTGCACATCCACCATTATCACATAAATTGCAGTAAGACAAATCAACAATTTTTAATTGTTGGGCTAAATTCAAGCCGTCAGCCAATATCTTTATGCCTTCTGAACCAATTCTAAAACAAATATAAAGAAAAAAAGGGAAATATATTTTTTTATGATTAGCGTAAAACTCGATTTTATAGAAGGATTGATTTATGTTAATTTTCTTCATTCATATCTCAGCTTTCACAAATTTTTTTCACAGCACATCAATTAAGTTTTAATTTAATCTAATTATGCACGTTTAAAAGAACTGAAGTTAAGGTAAAAAAATCAACCTATATTATATAAAACGAGCTTATGAATTTTACATAATTGTAAATATTGGTAAAATTACTGGCAATGAGATAAATTCAGTTCTTGTATCCTACTGTACTCAAGATAATATGATAGTGTTAAAGAAGTTGATTTTCCGAAGAAATTATATCTTAAATCTAGCTTCAACAAGTGGTTTATTCGGTTTTCATACAATACTTTGAACAGATTATATAGAACAACATCCCCAGCCGCATAGTTCTGAAATAACATGGAAAAAACTTTAATATCATACAACATCCAAACGTTTCCAAATAATTTTAGTTTTTTAGTTTAAAACATTTGCTTATGCAGTAGTTTTTGCTATGTTTTAAAAAAAAATCCTTTCCACTACCTTTATTGATTTTAAGATTAAGTAAACATTTTTCTATTCTTACACTTAAATCCAATTCAACAACATGTTTTTGTAAGATCTCGGTTATACACCCGATAGCAGGGTAGCCATAATAATTCACTTCATCCTTAAATTGATCAAATACGTTTTGTTGTTTAATTTCTATGAAAAATGATGAAAAGAAAATAATTGAATTGATAGAAAAACTTTGAAAATTCACAATCATTTGACCTTTTGTATAAACTTCATTCATTTGAATTTTATCTTCAAATATTGTTAACTCTTCGTTTTCAGTTGAAATTGATTGTTTATCGAATGTACTTTGAATACTAGATGATGTTAAAATTGAACTCAAATTAGATTGAGATAACAAAACTTTAACATCTGAGTTTATTTTTCCATCTTCTTCACTTTCAAATAAACTTTTACGCAAAGAAATATTCAATTTGGAATCACCACTATCCATGATTTGGGTAGTGTTGCAAATTTTCGTTTAATAAGAGCGTGATATTAAATTTTTTGCAATTCTAATTCTACCGATTATTGCCAAAATGTTTTAATGATTAACACAACTATATTCGATAAAAAATTTAGCTTATTTAATTTAATTTAAGACTATTATTAAATTGCAATATAAAAAGTTTCCTTTAGATTGATTAAATAATTAATTTAAAAATAAAATTTCTTTCAAAATTTGATACAAAACTCATTGAAAACTTAATTTATTTTTATTTAAAAATTTAATTAATAAATTCTTTAGGAGTAAATTAAAAATTTATTATTCAAATCGTATTTGTTGTAATATGAGGAACTACTAAAGCAGTTTTTTCGTAAATAGTTATTGACCCCATATTTATTTTGTATTTATTTCAATTTACTCAAAAGAGTTTTTTGCTTTATAACAAAACAAAAATTTGTTATCTTTTCTCGTTGCTTTAATACCTGTGAAATTTTTAATAAATCTTATCAAAAATTACATACTTTGACGGCTTTTCTGACAACATTGGAAAAAGTACTTAATAGCTTTACTCTATCCGTCCGATAGATGGTGCATCTATTAACAAAATTTCTAAACAGTTTAACGTCTTCGGCCCGACTGGTACACACACGTTACAATAAAGCCCAAACAACCTTAAAAGTTATAAATGGTATTATATTTGGTTCTCTATTGTATCATTTCATTTTTACATGATTCAACACATTGAATTTTAACGCTGCAATTCAGACAATTTATTTCATTGAAAGTACAAACATTTCAGTGAACGCAGAAAATATTGTGCCCTGCTTTTTATACCCGTACGAACGTATGTTCGAAGGGTATACCAAATTTGCCTTACCGTTTGTAACGCTAAGAAATAACGGTGATAGATATAGACTCAAGTGTATGTTTTTGATCAGCGTCAAATTCTGAGTTGATTTAGCTTTGTCTGTCCGTCCGTCCGTCCGTCCGTCCATCCGAACGATAACTCAAAAACTAATTGAACTAAGTTCACCAAATTTTCACAAATAATTTATTGTAGTAAGTGCCAGAATCCTATTTAAATTGGACATGATCGGGGTACCGGTTCGGGTAGCTGCCATACAACTTCAAAATTTATTTGGCTATATCTCAGAAACTATAAAAGTTATGGTATTGAAATTTCACACAAACGAATATATTAGTAGGGCCAATATGCCACATAAAAGTCGTTGAAATTACTTGGCTCCTTCTGGTACCTGCCATACAACTTCAAAAGTTATTTGACTATATTTCAGAAACTATAAAAGCTGTGATATTGAGATTTCACACAAGTGAATATATTAGTAGGGCCGATGTGCTTGATAAAATTCGCTAAAATTTCTTGGCTCTTTCTGGTAGCTGCCATACAACATCAATAGTAGTTTGGCACAACCAGTATTTTGAATAACACATAGTACTGAAATTTTGCATAAATTAATATGGTAATACGGCAACTTAAAGTCATAGTCTGCCCCATAGTTAGTTATGGCACATTAGTTATTCGTAGGATAACTAATTCGTACGGGTATCACAGAGTTGACAAGGTCAACTCTATTTTTTTTCTCGTTTTATTGTAAAACACTTTATCCCATAATTACAATGACAAAATGGCTGCAAATCTTAAATAATGGCTCGTTGTTGTGTGTTAAGATTTTAACACTTTATAATGACTAAAGACAGTTAATCCTGTTGCAAAAAAAAAAAAATTTCATTTCCTCCTCTCTTGAATTATTTTCTTTCCAAATTTATAAAATTTGAATTTTCAGCTTGCTAGCTTTTTCAAAATGCTATAAAAGAAGAAAGCAACGGTGGATGACATTTCATAGTTAGTATACATATAATATTTTATCGTAATAATTTAAATAATTTACCAATTCAACTGTGTATTATAAGAACGTTTCGTTTTAATTTTTGTTCCTCTCCTGAAAGTATGCAATATTTTTCTCTTCATGATTTCAGAATTTTTTTAATGAAATAAATTACTTAACATCGTTTTCGAATCTTCACTTTGGACCCGAAATTTTATTATAATTTTGGAGACCTGAGATTAAATTCAAATTACCTATCTATTTCAGAGTTTTTTTTCAAATTATTTTCATATGAACTTTTAAATATTTAGAATAGCCATTAATAAAATGTCGCATTTAATAATATTACAAAGCAATAATTGCAATTTTCATGCACCTATGCTGTTAAAATTTAAATTTTCTATAATTAAATTTAAAATGTTTTAAATATGAAATTAAATTTTTGATGTATTTTAACAAGAACGACAATAAAATGTCGAAACATTGTCAAAATCTTCATTTTTTATTTTAATTTTCTGTTTTTTTCCTCTTAGATCTATGTATACTAATTTTATTTATGGATTTACATGTAATCTTTTCGTATAACTTTTTAATTTTTTATTTCACACATTTCAAATTTATTTTCATTTTTTTTTTTCTTTTTTGTTATTCTAGAATCAAAAGGATGTTGTAATATTGGAGCCAACAGGATCAGATATCCTAAATTGTGTCTCAAAGGGTAAACGAGAAGTAAGTATATTATTATTTTTTTTTTATATATCTATTAATTTGTATATATATATGTACTTACATACAAAAAGAGAATGTACGTACATATATTTTTCTAAATAATAAATAAACACTGTAATATGTATGAATTCTATATCACTCGAAAAATACACGAATAAAATAAGAAGAAACATAATCGAACGAAAAAAAAACCAAAATAAAAAAAATGAAATCCTAGATCTATCCATGTAATACTCGAAAGATAACCGTGTAATTTTAGATCATATGTTTGAGAAATAATAAAAAAGAAAAAAAAAGGGTATTAAACAAATATATTATTTTCTCCATCTCTTCTATATTTGATATTTATAGACATTAAACATATTAAATATGTATAAAATAACCAGAAAAACAAGAAAAAAATAAAATAAAATAAAAAGCATATATGGAACACTTTTATCCTTAAAGGATCAATTTTTATTAAATACCAAACGAAAAGTTCGTTTATTTTTTTTTTCTTCCTTATTTTTTGAGGAAAAAGAGTTTTCTTTTTTGCTTTCTTCTTTGGTGTGTCTTTAAGGCATGAAGGATACGCTTTATATAATAAAAAAGAAAAAGGATAAAATAATCTTCATGCGTCACTTGAGAAATGGAAAATATTAAAAAATAAAATAAAATAAAAGAAAATTCAAAATAAATAGAAAAAAAAATTGTAAATGTTTAAGCAATGGAACGAAAAAATAAAGGGAAAAACTTTAAGATTTTTCGTTTATTTATTTTCAATACTTTTCTTTCGTTTTTTTTCCATTTTTTCCGAAATAAATGATTGATTGGTGAATTGATAGTGTGATGAAACATGATTTTATCGGATTTCATTCTTTGTGTTTTGATTTTGTTCTTTTTTTTCTTCTTTTTTATTATTATATAAATTTTTCCTTTATGGAAGGATTTTAAAATAAAATACAAAAGGGAGTAACAGAAGAAAAAGAAAAATAATAGGAAAAAAATAAGAAAAAAAAAATCTTAAATAAAAATACGAAAAGAGTTTTTTTTTTTCTTTCCTTGACGCTTTTTGATATTTGATGATTGAGCGTATTAAATTGTCTTGTAGACCTTTACTTTTACCTACAGGTATTTTATATTTCAAATTGGTTATTTGTTAAAAATACACATTGTATATACATAGATAAATAGATATGTTGGCATAAAACTTGATTTAGAGGAAAAATATTATTGCGCTTTCAAACATACTTACGCAATTACACACATAATTTTGTATTTAGAATTTTTGTGAAAAACTGAAAAATGGAGTAAATTAGTAAATGAATTCGAAACATAATTTTTGAGGTCAATTAAATTGAGGAGTTACCACATTTATGTATGTACTTGTGTATTTCTTGGAATAAAAGCTCTTTAAGTTTTATATTGGTTAGGTTAATTTTTGTCAATATTTTGTCGTAAAGAAACTTTATAATTTAAAATAAAATTATTAGTGGTGATTTCTGAGTTCGAATATAGAATTTTAATATCTTGCATTCATTTGAAAATCCTTTTTGTTTTTAAATCAGATTGTGATGATAAAAGAAAATTTAGCACTGTTAAATAATGTTAATAAAAAGTTGCTGAATATTGAGGTTGTTAGAATTCTAATTATAATAGAAAAAAATTTGGAAAATATGAGAATCAAATTTATTGGAAAAACAATTTCTGAAGTGGAATAAATTTTTACTGAAATATATTAAACAAATAGAACCAATATGATGAATTGTACAATGGTTATGGCTCCAGGCCTTTAACCGAAGCACGTTAGGTTCAAACCCTATAATAATAATACAAAAATGAATAATTAATGTCAACAACTTCCAATATTTAGTATGATGAAAAACTAACGGCAGACTGGTCACCTAGTTAATTCCAATGACTTGTAAAACTGATCCTTGACTCTACAGTCAAGTGGAGGGTCCTAATACTCACAAATGGAGTAAGAAAAATATATATATATATTTTTATATTATATTCTATAGTCAGCAACATTTTTGAGAGTCGACGCACTCTACCATCCTAAATAGAAGGTTAAAAAAAAACAAAAGATTATAATGGATATGTAGGTGCGATATAGATTTCACTCGAAATTTATTGTAACAATTCTCGAAAGTTTGGGAAGCGAATCTGTTGGGAGGTTACTTTTGAGTTAGAAGAGACTTCGTACTGTATGGAATGGAAATTAAAAATTTGAAAAATTATGAAATGGTCCATAAAAATAAAAGAATAGTGCTAAGCTCAATTTTTGTACAAAAGATATTTTTTTGAAGGTTAAAAGGGGTTTTCACAAAGAATCTAATAATCCAAATGCAAATGTGAAAAAATATAAAATTTTCCAAAATTAAAAAATGTTTGTTGCAACTAGTCTGTGCAATTTTTATTTTTTCATATTAAAAACTGTAAAACATACTTTATATTCGACTATATATGGTACAGAGATTATTCGCATATAATCTATTCGTCTGTTATTAAAACACAAACATTTTAACTGAAAAACGTGGCGACATTAAATTTGCCCAGATACAATCTCAACTCCAGGCAGATCGGTTTTAAACGTACGAACTACGAGTATGTAACATTTGTAGATTGAAACGAATACCTGATATCCTATAAAAGGATCAAAAAGCATAGGGTTCAGAGTCATCGACAAAATGTCTATAATGGATGCAAACGGATTATATAGAGTTCTAGGAAGAATCTTCATATATAAATTTTTTCAATTTTTTCTGCCGATTTCAAGATAGTTAAATTTAAAACATTTTAATGAAATAATTCAAAATTGAAAAGAATGTGTTATAATTTAGGTTTTGTAGCCGCGTCTGGTTACATACATATATCTGAGAACAATATTTTAAATAAATATTACATTTAAAATGAAGTTCTAAAGTACAAAATAAAGTTTTGATGAAATCAGATAAAGCATTGCAAGTCTATATTTTTGATGATTAAAAACTTCCTCTCAAATTTCTTTTGAAGTTTGTTTGGGAAATTGAACTGAGTACAGCATTCAGATACGACAGCTCAATTGAGAAATATTTTGTTTTAAGAAAATATTTTTTTTTTACTTTTTAATGGAAAGTTACAACTCTCTCTGGAATTTCTATGAAATAAAAAGAAAAATAATGTCAAAAATTGTGGAAAATCAATAATTGTCTTATAAAGTTGTTGGCTCTATTGCCTCAACAACATTAATACTTATAAACTTCTAATATGATTTCTTTTTAATAAGAAAAAATTATATTTTTAAAATTTTCATTTTGTAAGGAAATAAGCAAATTGTCCAAAATTTCATCTTGTGCAAATTCTGAATATCATTTTGCTTTGTATGAATTTATGATTATTTTATATTTATTGTGTAACTTTGTTATCAATAATATTCTTTTCTTAGTTATTTGAATGCCGTAATCACATAAGAGTAATACAACCAATGGACCATGGGAGAAAATTGTACATATGTGGAACGAATGCTCATAACCCTAAGGATTATGTTATATATGTAAGTAATATATGTATACATACATATTATGTACATATACATATTATATGATAAATCTTTTAAAATACACATACATAAGTATTTTATTACATTATTATGAAAAAAAATCAAAATTTTTTTTTTGAAATTATTTTATTTAAAAATATTTATTTTTATGGAAAATAAACCCTTAGGCTTCTTTCAATAAAATTATAATAATTTGATTTTAAATTTTTTTTTTTTGTTTAGTCCAATTTAACACATTTACCAAGGAATGAATATGTACCGGGTATTGGATTAGGTATTGGTAAATGTCCTTACGATCCATTAGATAATTCAACAGCTGTTTGGGTTGAACATGGTAATCCGAATGATTTACCAGGATTGGTAAGTGCAAAATTATGATTTTTTCATTCTTTTTTTCTTTTTTTGTTTTAATATTAAATAAATATACGTATATATATTATACACATGGGCACATATTTAATAAAATCCATAAATACCTTAATTAATTTTATTTTAGGCATTTATTTTGTACATTTTATTAATATTTAGAGATATTTTATATATACATATATCTACTGATATATTGTATATTAAAATATAATAAATACCTTGAAGGCTAAAATTATACAACATCATAACATTTTAGTTTATAACAAAATATAATTTAAATGTTGTTAAATAAAGCGTGAAAATCAATTTAATAAATCCTATATAAATGTAGGTTCATACAATGTATTAAAATATATTTTATTAATCATAAACACAATATAGTAATAATATGTATAGATGTTGCTATTTTAGATGAAAAAACTAGTATCCTCTTTAATGCAGCATGCTTATGAATTATTTGTATTCATGCCTTTAGGGTGAACTAAATTGAAATGATTTTTAAAATCAATTAAGTTGAAAGAAAAATCAATTTGGTCGACATAATTATTATGTGACAATTATTATTAATTTTTCAGGTTATAATGCCTTATTCAATTGAAACAGTTAGCAATATTAGCAATCAGTACTATAAAACAATGCTATAAAACAATCAGTACTAATAGTATTATTAAGAGTTAATAGTAATTTTAAGTCCTGGAAAATTATAAAATAAAATGTTATTGTAGTATAATATACGCTTTTGAGTCCCACAATATGAATTAGTGAGCGAAAATTTGAAAATGTAGAATTTCAACAACCATGAAAATTAAAATTTCATGTGAAATTTTGTTTTGAACTGTTAATTAATACTAGGGTAGTAAAGCTCGGATACAGTTACCAAGTAATACCCAATACAATTGCTAAATTGTAACAGTTAAACTTAATAGTTTCGTATTTATTTGTCGAATTTCTGGCTCACTAAATTACTGAAACTTTGTATTTGTTTTGTGTTGGAACGACACAATTGATCTACACATATGAAACACGAAAAATTTTTGGAAACTTCTTTACTTAAATTTAGTCTTTATTTTATTCAAAAAAGAGTAGCTTGTCCTAAATTTTAGATGTACAATAGCTTATGTACAGTAGGATTGGAAAAATTTCCACATGTAAATTAAAGTACAGAAATCGATGCAAAATTAAGGATAAATACTTTATCGGTAGAATTTTGAAAAGAAAAAAAAAATTTTTATAATTTGGGTAAATTGTAACGTGATTATATTCTCATATATTTCTGTATAAGAATAGTATGAACCTATAAAAATAAACAAAATTTTCACATTAATTTCTTATATCTACATACATTAGTGTGCAATTGTTGTATATATGTGTGTTTGTATATCCGTTATAATATTAAACTGAAGAAAAATATATTTCTCTTTTTTTTTCTTATATTTTAATTCCCATAAAACATCAACTCTGTATATATGTACGCTATGTCCAACAACAATGATCATATATGGAAAATAACAAACAGTATTCAGGAACAAATGCTGAATTTACCAAAGCCGATTCAGTAATTTTCAGGTCTGATTTGTATAATTTAACATCCGGCCGGAAGGAGCATAATTTCAAAAGGACACTCAAATACGATTCTAAATGGCTTGACAGTAAGTAAATTGTTATTTCTATAAATGTATTATTTTTATCTTCTTTATATATACAAGAATGTTCTTTTTATTTTCTCCCAAGGCAGGGTTTTGTACGGAAATTTTTTTTTAGTATAGATTGCTTTTTCATTTGATAATATTTTCTATTATTTCTTTTTTCCAACTTCTATTCTTTCCTTCGTTTTGAATTCTGTATTTTTGTGTTGTTTTTGTTTTTTGCGAGGTCCTCTTTTGATGAGTATATTGTACTATACCGAAATGTGAAAATTAAGAGAACATAACATTATGTGTTATGTATACCTAAAAATTATGTATGTATACTTATGTACATGTATAGTGAGATGGGACTACTACTTGAATATATTACTGAAATTATTGCAATTATGTGAAATGATAAGAAATTGAAATAAAAAAATGGAGGAGGCAATGTGAAAATTTTAACAAAAACCAAATTCGTTTGGCCATTGCTTTCACACCTAATGACTGCCACCGTGACTGCCATAGCTTTCACACCTAATGACCTAACGATCAGCAAAAGCTTTTGATGTTGATCTAAGAAAACAAAAATTTTATGACATTTTCTATCTTTGAAGTCAAAATTTTGCTCATATAATTTTTAATGAAGCTTATTTCTCCACTCAACTTAAAGATTCGTGCTGTACTATTAAAAGGCCCTATAAACTATTTGCTTATACACCTTCATCACTAAATATGAATCAATAATTTCTATGTACATATTCTCAGAAAAAGTCTTTATGACTATAGATCAACATTATGTTTAATCAACAGCTTGAAGCCGAAAGTTGTGCTAAATATTGCTCTGCTATTTATTCAATTTCCCAAAAGATGCCAAAGTTCATAGTAAAATATTCAAATAAATTAAAGTGGCTTTGTAATTAACATTATTACAGATACAATCATTTTCTAAACGTGCGATTAGGATGTAGTTATCATTTTTTCTATTTCTTTGTATGCATAAATTTTATGACAGTTACAGAAAGTTTAAATTTCTTAATTTAACGCAAGCAAGCACAAAGATTTATAAATTCGTCAATTATTATCTATCTATTGATTCTATAATCATTGGTTGACTTACGTACCTAATTGGAAAAATTATTTAAAAGCATTTTAGAAGCATTTAATTACCAATTGTTTTTAGTACAGTAAAAACACTGCAATAATAAAAAGTGATCTAACATTCGATATGAATGACTTTTGTAGAGGTTACCATTACATTATGTACCCTATTGTAGGTACAACATCACTGAATTATAACATTTAAAATAGGTTTAAGGATAATATTTGGAATATTTCTTCTCCTTTTTTCAGATTTTTTTGTTATACAAGCGTTGTATTTGTGTAAAAAATTATTTTCTACTATTTTTCTCCTCTTATTATGACTTTTTCTTTACTTTTGGGTAATCATTATCGTTTTCAGTTTTTCTATATACTACCTTCATTTGGTAAACCAGTGATTGTCATTTTGGATGAACCAAAAAAAAAAAGAAGAGGAAAAATGAAAAACAAAATAACAGTTTATTTAATGACATCATAAGATTTTATCTGTGGTTGAGATTTTTTCATTACAACATTTTAGTTGATTTCGGTTGGAATCTTTAGAACGTAACCTTTTTTTTTCTATTTGTTCAGTTTGTTCAATTTTTTTTCTATTTATTTGTTCAGTTTGTTCCTTTTTGTATTGCAGTAAGTGATGTGTCATTCATTGGACCAAGCGTTAACTTCTGAATTAGAGAATAATAAAAAGAAAAAAAAATGAAAAATATGAATGAATTACCAAAAAGGTAAATTGACAGCCAATGGAAATAATGTTAAAGAATAAAAAGAGAAAAAAGAATAGGAAATTAAATTGTCAGTTAAAAAGTATAGTAAAAATAGAAAAAAAGCAGTTCTTTAAATTATACAAAAGCATTTATGTACTAACTACAATAAAGAATAAGAAATTTCCTTTAAATCCAGCAATAACACCTATTGTTAAAGTGTTTAAAAAAATAGTCAGAGAAGCTTTTTGTTTTTCTTCTTTGACTCATTCTTAAACAGGAAACCTACTGGAAAACTACTGTAACTTCTTAATTGTAATAAAAAAAAATCACTTTTCTTACCTTTATTTAGAAATTCATTAACAAATGAATGATTTGAATTAGAAAACAAAAGGAACAATTAATAAAAATGATTAACTGCGAGCCTACGTAGATTACGGCGCTTAAATGTATGTATAAGACGCAAATAATTTTTTTACATTAATTGTAAAGATTGTTATTTAGAAACAATTGATCAGAGTAGCATCAATAAAATTTTAAATTTAAATAAGAACGTTAATAAGAGAAATCATGTTAGTTTGAAGCTCTCCATATAAAGAGTTTTCAAAAAACTTAAGACCGAAACTGTAAACTCTTCTATATTTTTATTAAAATAAAAACTAGCTTCCTAGAGATTGTTTGGCGGGAATTATGTTTTCTTGTTAAAATTATATATTATGTAATTGTATTGATCTGTGATCACCTGTTTAATTTTGACACTGTAAGTTAAAACTTTTACTTAAACGTTGTTTCTATTGCATTCAATAAGGAGCGAGGAAAGCTGTTTTCATACTAAACTTATGATGTTGTGCTGTATTTGATACATTCGTGAAGTGTAAAGCAAACTTCTCCAGATTCTGGTTCTCATTGCAACAGTACTCTTTGCATTCAAGTGCCTCAAGTTCGACTTATGGAAATGCAACGCTTTTATAAAATTAAACATAACAAAAGGGCACGATTTTCAAGATATATTATTAAGTCAAGCTTTGTTCTTTTCAAGTTAATGTTTACTACGGACAGATAAGTTTCTTTATGAAATCATGAAAGAATGACTGAACGAACCTTTGTTAGCTAAATTTATATTTTTGGCAACAATATAAAGAAATAAACAACGGATTTTTTTCGAAATTTTGTATTTCATTAGTCTTTGCTTAAATAGTGGTTCTATGCATCTTCCCAGAACTTTTGGGCTTCAAAATGCCGTAAGCATTCATTAATAATTGTAGAATTTGTGAATATTATTACGAAAATTTATATTGTAGACATTTAAGTGTTGATTATCTTATATTTAATTATCTAATCCTAAAAGTATGCAATGAGAGAACATGAATTAAAAGAATAATCATATTGTTCTCACTTCTTAATGGAATGTACTCTTTTGAAAATTTTTTTATAAAATAGGTTTTGCACAAATTAAAAGCAATATATCAATTATCAAATTTCTTCTATCAAATTACAATTTGAGAAGGTTATTTAATTTATTTTTATTTTTAACAAAAATTGTCATTGTGACATTTTTGAACTTTATACAAATTTTTAGTTTAAAACTTAAATAAATATGTTTTTCCATTTGGTATACATAAATCCCAAGTTTTTGTTACTGTGCATAATATTATTTGTAACATGTTTTCATATAGATAGCAAGAATTTGATAGTTTCCAACTCATCAAATTAATGTCAAACATTTTTTTACAATAAATTAATTGCAACTATTAAAACTAATATTGTTTTCAATTTTATTTATAATTGATAAAAATTTATTTTTCTATTTTTCTTTTTTCGCGACTCTATTTCAATTATTGATGCGATGATGATGATGATAATGATGATATGATGATATAGAACCAAATTTCGTTGGCTCATTTGATATTGGAGAATATGTGTATTTCTTTTTTCGTGAACGTGCTGTTGAATATATAAATTGTGGTAAAGCAATTTATTCACGTATTGCCAGAGTGTGTAAAAATGATAAAGGTGGCAAATATAATATTATTGGACAAAATTGGGCAACATATTTAAAAGCACGAATAAATTGTAGTATATCAAGTGAATTTCCATTTTATTTCAATGAAATTCAATCAGTTTATAAAATGCCAAATGATAATAATAAATTTTATGCAACATTTACAACAAATACACATGGTATTGTTGGATCAGCTATATGTAGTTATGATATACGTGATATAAATGCGGCATTTGATGGTAAGTAAATTCTCTTGTTTTATTTACAAATTTTTTAACATTAATTTAATATATAATAGTATTTATAACAAAACACATTTAATATGAGTTTTTGTATATTTGCATATAAGAAATAGTGTGCACATAGTTGTATAATAGGATAATATTTTTAAAGTTCCAAATGAAAATAATGAATTAAAGTTTTAGTGAAGTTTAATAATATGAAGAGGTTTTTAAAATTTCCGGATCTATTTAATGTTATTTCAAATTTTCATCAATGTAGGTAGCTATATTATTTGTAAAATAAAATTTTTTATTATGCTCAACTATATTGCATATTAGACAACATTGCATGTACATAATAGCCATATTGCGTTTTTCAATAGAGTAAGATATTCAATTTAAATTCAGTGTTTATAGAGCAGATCTTTGTTTTGAAATTTTGAAATTGAATAAACTTTTAGCATGAAAATATTTATAATATGCGCATATGTAGTTGGTCAGTCTACAATTTGTTTTAACATAATAAAGAGGGCTAAAGTCAAATTTTTGTGCAGTTTCTAAATTTATTGTTATGACGTATGTAGTTATATTTTTGTGGAATTTTTTCATAATTCAATAACCTCATTTTTAATCAATTTTAGTTATTTCTTGCCTTGTGAAAAATATTAGAGCTTTTTTTAACTCAAATTTTCACGATAAAATTGTCAAGAAAACTCCCGCGAATGTTTCAAAAAAAAATTTTAAAAACCCATCGCCGAATCGACGTGATAGTTAAATAATTGATTTTTCGATTTCTTTTTACTCCTGTTAAAGTTGAAGCTCAACAAATGTGGTTAAACCAGGTATTGTTGGAAAGAGTTCAAGAAGATGCTGTTGGAAAGTAGAGTTGAGACACATTTTTAGAAATGGTAAATTTCAGTTAGACGTCTTTAATATGTCTTAGAATGAATAAAACGTATATCAGCTTAAAATTTATTCGAATGTGCAAAAATTATATTCAGACTACCTCCACCTGCAACAATAAAAACTTTTTTCAAAAAAATTGGAATATACGGTAATATCTCACGCAGATTTGCAATACCGATTTTTTAAAAAATTTCAATCATTAAAATTGTAGGCCTGTTGGCAATAAAGTAAATCAACTCATAACGCAGTCTTTTTAAATTATGCCAAAATTGCAATATTTTCTCTATACGATTTTTGGGGAAATCCTCGTACATTTACGAAATTTTGTTCGTAGACGCTTCTCAAAATTTTTAATATATTTTCACATATTAGATTTTTAATTTAATTTCGGTTCCAAAACTTTTTTTTGAAAGCAAAACACCATATTTTAAAATGGATTTAGCATTTATTTATTGTGAAGATGACTACTATGCGAAATTTCCATTTTGTACTTATTTTTTTAATCTATAGGTACATGCACCTTGGTATTCAAGTCGGAGTGCACACAATATTTATTTTTTAGTAAAACAGTTTATCTTAAAATTTACATATTTTGTATGATTTGCTTATGTTTTTATCTCTTACCTAAGAAAACTTCTAAACAATTTTCTTAAAATTTGAAATTTTTATTCAGGTGGGAAATTACACTAGGTATTTATTGTACAGTTTTGTTTTTGAAAATGTATTACTTCCTACTTTTCTGATTTTCAAAGTATCCTTTATAAACCAGAGATAACCTCACATTTCATATGAAGTGCCATTTTACAATTCTTCTGTTTTTAGATTAATTCCTCTATTGCTTAATATTGTGTTAGCGTGATACATGTAAAGCAATGTATGCACAAGACGTATGTGATCTTAATGCAAATGTGAAACAACATTTTTTTGAAAATTTCATAGAAAATGAAAAATGCTTAAAATTGCAATTGTACTCAAAGGATGCTTTTCGCATTTTACGATTACCATAAAATTTAAGTAAAATAACAAATAGAAGGAATTAATATTTTTATAATAAAAAGAGAGTTGTCCCAGTTAAGTATAGAATTTCTTTAAATTTGTCATTTATAAGTCGGTAGTAACTTTAAACAGAATAATATTTCATAGCAAATAAGAACACTTCTGCGTATTCTTGTGAAAAGTAAAGTCTCTGGAAATATGGAAGAAACTGCAACGACAAAAAATGCATTAGAATTTAAAATTTGTAAAGCAATATTTTCAAGAAAACAGTTTTTATTTCTCTTCTTCTTTTCGCAACACATGATGCAAGATGTGCTTTTCTTTAAAGAAGGCTTCTAACTATTTAATTATATTTTAGTTTCCTTTACTATACTTTCGTCTCTGGCAATTACCAGTATATTGCGTTAATTCTGAATATTTGGTATTCAGTCTTGTTCTAGTAACATTTAAGAAAACGGGTTTCAATTTTAATTCTGCAAAAATATCATTTAAGAAGTAATGTTCCACCTCCATCCCAAAAAATTAGCAATTTTCTAAAAGAAAATTCAGAATTTCATCCTTACATTCTTACAAAATTTTGCAAATCTTGTTACAAAATTTGACAATAAAGCAATGAGAACTATCATTAAAACTTGCCGAGCTCCATAACTTTTGTTAGACCACTTTTTTGTGGTTCGAATCCTGTTTATGAAAAGAAATTGTAAAACGAATTAAGAATGTATTGATTTTAGAATTAAGTATTATTTGATTTTGTGTAAATTTTGCATTTCACAAGATTTAGAAAGCACATATTGGGTACATTTTATTTGAATTGTTCTTCATCTATCAAGATGCTATCCACTGACTGCTCGTGTAGGGTATGAAAAAAGAGGTTTCATTTAGTTGAAAAACTACATTTTTTCGAACTAAAATTAAAAAAATTGAAAAATTTTAAACAAAACAAAAATCTAAAGAAGTATTAAAACAGATAAGCTTTGTTTCGGAATAGTTTGAACCATAACATTACAAAAAATATTTATGTCAGCCATAGAAAACGATTTTATTAACGATAGTAATACTCTTATGCTTCCTAAAAAATATAAATTAAACTGAAATTAAAGAAAAGGCACTTGAATATTTTATTTTTAAAAAGGCATTTCACATTATCTACTTTAAAAACTCATAATTTTATTAACAAATGTTAAACAACCACTCTTGAATGTTTTTCTAAAATTATAATATTGAAGCACCTATTGAAACTACACACATTTTATGTAATTTGTGCAATTTGGTATGGCAAATTTTTAAAAACTGCCTCTTAGTTTACTTTATCCGTTTGAGAAAACGTACTATTAACAAAATATTTTTTATGTACACATTTGCATATAATAAGGAAGGTTATGATTTCACTAAATGTTGCATTTCCGATTAAAACACACTTCTCAATACCACGAAAGCGCAAATAAAGAATTTTAAGAAAAAAGGCTACCTGTTAATGATCACCTTACCCGATTTTCACGAAAATTGTAACTAATGTAATTTTAATAAGTTTTTTACTTTTAGAGTATGTTTTCAGGACCCGCATCTTTATTACGGACTGATTTTATATTTCTGATTATTTTTAAGAAAATTCAATTAGTTTGTTTCGATGAGCTTTTCGAGGAAATTCGATTTCAGCAAATAAATTTTTACTACAATTTATTTTTAATTGCTGGCTTATTTCTCTAATATACAAAGAAATAAGTTACCAATTTCCTTCAAATTTTCACTCTGGTTAATTAAACAAACGAACCAGTAGTTTTTTTGGAATACTAGGGCTCGAAATAATAACTTTCACTATGAATCAGTTTAACGTATTAAACTAATTTAGGTAATTTTTTCAAATTTAATACGTCAGTATCGATTGTTGATAAAACTAACTCGGAAACTTGGCAGAGTAATTGGATTACATATGAAAATAAATGTCTACTACGAACCAAATTTACATTTTTCCAACTACAATAACTTAAAGGCCTAGTGAGCCTTTTATAGAATTTAAAATTTATATATAAAAAAAAATTTTTATAATCTCAAGCAGCACTTTCAGATTTTTTTATTTTCCAATGATTTCAAAGGGAAAAGATTTTTGTTTTAAGTTTTAAAAAATAAATAATTGAATTTAAAAATGTTTGTATGTAACACGTTCAGTAATAAATAAATTATAACTTTTACTACTTTCATTTAAAATTAATGAAATTTTTATTTGAAGGTTATTTTTAGAATTATTATAATTATAAAAAAAAAGTACTTGTTCAAGGTTCAGTTGCAATTAACAAAAAACCTTGAACATTAACATGCTTCGTTAGATTTTTAATGAACATATAAAAAGTATATTTAGCTACAAACATCTATAAAATTTTCATATAACCAATTGTTATTAACATATTATTGTGGTATACTTTTTTTTAGAGCATATTATTTTGTTTTAGTTTAATTGCCCTATCAGCAACATAGAGAAGAGCGAATTTCGAGGAATATAATATTATTTCAAAGGAATTATTTCGTGCTTGTCACATTACATTTTTTTATTTCAGAAATAAAATTTTTTATGATTATTTTCATGTTTATAACAAACTTTTATAACTTTATTTTATTTAAACTTAAATTTGTCGATTGTTGTGCTTTTCTTCCTTCTACGTTATTATTTTCTATCCAAATTTGTGGCCCAATAACTTCAACACTGTGTGTTACAAAATGAAATAGAGTTTAACTATTCTGAATTGTTTGACATATTGTGATATTGTGTTTTTATGTGCTATAAATAATAAAATTTGCTGTAAAAGAACTATACTTGCATATGTTACGAGTATACATTTTAATTTAATTTATTTGAGTAAATGTCATATAACAGTCTGTTTCAGAAAATTTTATGAATGGTTGAGAATAACTTGCTCCATTAATTACATAGACATATAGTCATTGGTTAATTGAGTGGATTGCAGAGGCATGAAATAAATCGTAATATTAGTTTTCTATATTTGTCTAATTAATGTTAGGTAAGTTCAAAAGATGATTGATCAAATAGCCAGGGAAAAGCTGAGATGAAGTGTGACAGGTATCCACAACTTCTTGTTTTAGAAATAGAAGAAGTTTGTATTTGTTATTATCAACGAAGGTGATTTTTAAGAAAACTAAAACTCAAAAAAATAGACAAAGGGTAAAGAAGAACCTAAACCAACTACTAGAGTTGGCAGTAACAGAATACTTAATGTCACTGCAAAAGTTAGATTTGGCTGTTTGAAGAATCGATTATTATTAGAGACCAATTTTTTTAGAGAGATAATACTAGAGGCGTGGAATTAAATTTTTAAATCCTTCATGATTGCAGTCAAGATTTTAATCTTAAAAAATGAAATAACAAAGATACAACAAAAATGAAAAGCTACCGTTACTATTTTTAAATGAAAATTTAAATATACACAAAAATATAATTTTTCGGATTTCTTATTACTATATGCGCGTAGGATCAAGGACAACTGGTATAGAAATCTTTAATTTAATTTATATTTAAGGAAGAAAGAAAGTATTTCTCAAATTTCATCGATTTATTTTTAAAATATCTGGTTTTTCAGAAACGTGCCTATATAAAATGTCTTCGGGCAATTTTTAGCAGAAAAATTTGCTTAAAACTTTTTCTTATACTTTGAAAATTTTCACATTTAACCATAAAGTTATTTAATTTTCTTTTTTAAAAGTTTGTTTTTTGCCTTTTAATCGAAACCTCTATGCCTAAAAATAATTTATTTAACAGCTTATTTAGCCATACATATATAGATAGATAAAAAATATAGAAAAATTTACAACGATTAGGCACCAAATTATTAAAATTTGAAAAATAGGATCGAAAGGTATTTACATACTGTCTTATATACACACATACACATAAAAATTCATAAAATAAAACTTTGAATCACCTTAAAAAATCTTCGATTTCCCATTTTCGTTGGAAAACCCAATATTTTTGGATAAAATAATATTTTTTTGGTTGATTCCTTGAATTTTTGTTTTCTCCTTTTTTTCTATTAATATTTCTATAGGATGCGTATATATGTAAAATGTATTATGTTGTGTGCTAGTACCGATATTTACTTAGCTGTTCATTTCCTTTTGCCATTTTTCCTATATACAAAATTACATTTTCTTCTTTATTGTTGTTCGAAATATTTGATTCGACACAATATGGTATCTTTAAGAAGAAAATCAGCAAAAGGCAGAAAAACGACAAAATCTCTAATTTTAACATCTTCATTTTGGGAAGAAATGATTGAAATAGTTGGAAAAATGAAGAATGCAAGAAAATAAAAATTTTGCTCTCATACCATTTCCTTCCTGGATATTTGTTTGCCGTTATTACTTTTATATTTGTTTTGAAATTGGGAAGTATGAAAATACGTGCTTCATATTTTTTGAATTATTCCAATTTGAAATTTAAATATTACGTATGTTTCCAATACATGTAATTTTTGTGATAAACTTCCTAAAACTTCGATTTAATTAAAGAAAAATCCAAAAATTCTATAAAATTCTTAATAATTTTCACTAATATCTTTTATGATAAATTGTAATAAAAGTTGAAAATGTTTAAAGTAAAAAATGCATATTAGAAGTTTTGGGCGAAATTAAAGAAACAGTTTTAAGTCACAGTTAAAATATTAAATTTTCAAACTGGCAGAATGTCTTAAATTTGTTCTTAAAAGATAGTCCCCTTCCTCTTAAATATTTCTAATGTGCAACGAATAGGTAAGGAATGCTTATTTTAAAAACATACTTGCTTTAATTTACAAGGCGTAGGAACAGTATTTTCAAAATTATTGGAATTATTTCATATTTTTTCTCTCAAATATTTTATTCAAGTACTTTAACACTAATTCACTAAATTATATCAAATTATTGCATACATTCAGGATGATAAAAATTGATAAGGGGTTGGGGGCGGATGAGGTGTAAAAAATTTCTTCTAAAACTGCTAAAAATCTATGAATTAATTACAACCTAATAACAGAAAGAAAACAGTCTCTGTAATTTTTTTCGTATATTAAAACTTAGCATACCTGCTGAAAAAATGTTTCCCAAAACGTGTTACTGCAATGATCAACTCGTCTTCTGTGCTGACATCAGATGAGTTTTATATTTCGGCAACTCACTTTATGATAACACAGAGTGATATTTTAATAATACTATAATTTACTAACACAAGCACGCTCGTATGAATGTACGTACAAAATTTATGGGGAACAATTTTGGATCTTAATTTCATTTCACTTGAGTAGGATAATAATATCGTATATTATAAAAATATGTAATAAAAATTCAAAAAAATATATATAAATGTACGTGTACATAAAATTATGTATTGAATATTATATACAAATTATACATAATATACATACATATATTTATGTGTAATTGTGTTATTAAAGATTGTGTGTATGTATATTTATAATATTTTGTTTTTAATGTTGAGCGTATGAAGTACAGCTGTCAAAATTATTACAGGAATTTCATTTTTCGCACGGAAATCTTAAACCTCTAACAATTTTTCTCATACAGATGAGCAAAACCAAAAAAATAAAAGAGAAAAAAATTAAAAGAAAAAGTTAAAAAAAAATAAAATGGAATTGAAAATTTGATTAAATTCTTATAAAGTAAGTGTGACAGAAATATGATAGGTATTATTTTTGGATCACATATTTCCGGTTATGATATTTTGAAGTTACGTTTTTTGGTTTGATGATGGATAAAAATAAAATTTTCGGAAATGTAAAGTTTTTTTTTGAATTGAGCAAAAAAAATATGATTTCTTCATTATTATTTTTATTTTTTTTTCACTCATATATTCAATAAATGATGTCAAATTCAATACAATTTTATTTCAGACTCTTTAGAGAAATTTCCATCATGCATTATTGAAATTTTGTGAAGAAGGATTTCTGATGTGAATAAGAAGAAGAAAAAAAACATATTTATTTCATATAATATGTACGTACACACATATTATATACAAATTTTATATATAAATGTGGCATATAAGAACTATGCTACCTAACTCGTACATGGAAGTAAAAGAAATTTCCATTTTTGTGAGAAATCACGCAAGATTTTATTCTTGTAATTAAACGTTTTAATTAATTCCCTCAATTTAAACATTTTGAGAAATTTATGTTCACTTGACGATGATGTTTTCTTGATTGTTCGTTTTATTTTACCATTTGAAATAGTTTTGGAGTTTTGGAAAAAAAAAACAAGATCTAAATAGTTTTGGAATTAAAATTTTGTTGTACTTTTTAAGAAAATGAATACAGGATTCTATTTAAACTTAGCCGAGTTAGGAAATACTCGGAAAATTAAAGCAAAACTAGTTTGGGGCGAGAAATCAGCAGCCTGTAATATCCTTACCGATTTTTCTGATGTAAGCTAAAACTAACTCCTCTTTCTGCGTTTACAGAATCGACACTTGCTTTTAATGACAATAAAGTAGTTTCGTTAAAAATATACCTACATATTTCAATTCCAAACTATAAAGAACTATAATTAGAAAGAAAAGGAGAACGTATAAAGTTAGGTCTTCTAATAAACTCAATTTTTGAAAAATTTATTTGGAATATTCAAAATTCTTTTATTATAACAGAAAGTGCATTGTCTTGCATGGTCTTTTTACGGTTTCACGTTATACACCTCGCGATGCTATTATTTTTTACTTTGGTTAATCGATACAATTCACAATAAAACACATTTATATAAAAATTTGTGCAAAGTGTTTTTCAGGTCGAAACTGTTTAATGTAAGGTAATCCGGAATAATGTAACTTTTTAAAATATGTTCAGGCTTTCATTATGTGATAATTGGACACCGTACCATTACCATATCTATTATGAATGCTTCGCACACAAAAACTTTTATTCCAGCAGCACAAAGTAATATGGAAAAATCGTTTTATACACATTTATCCATTCATGCATGTTATATGGAATATACATATACATAAATAAATTTAGAAGGTAATATCTTCTATATTATATTAAACCCGACTGGTAAATGCTACCATTTTGACATACCTGAAAAATAATATTATTGAAAATATTAGAATGACAGCAATCTATACACCATAGATGAAATGGTACAATTGTGTACGATGACTAAAGTAAAGAATTTCTTAAGAATTTTTATGAAATATTTTTTCCAGCACAAAAACTATGCATACGAGTACATATGAAATGATTTGATTTCAAATTAAATTTTATTGAATTAAATATTGCTTTCAGCGTTAAATCACTTTTATTGAATCAAATTATTATTCGACAGTAAATCAGAAACATATGTGACTGTCTCCTAAATATTTCTGACAACAATATATTCAGGTACATATACATATTGTACATAAATGTAATCATGAAGAAAACTGAAAAATAATAAGAAATAACGGCAAAATAAAAACTTTATTTAAACGTTAACAGCAGTTTAATACGAGTAGTTAACACACTGTTAGCGAAGCAAAATAGTATTGGAATATTTGCATAAATACAAAAGCATATTCAGTTTTATTATTCCAAATTAAATTTTCTTAATAACACAAAACATTTAAAAAACGATAATTTTTTATACATGTTTGAAAAAATTTGAAATAATTTGTTTATTTAATTTATTTTAAGACCAAGGAACTAAATGTTTAAATTTGATTTTCTTACAGGAAAATTTAAAGAACAAGTTTCATCAAATTCAGCATGGCTTCCGGTACTTAATTCAAAGGTTCCTGATCCAAGACCAGGAGTTTGTATAAACGATACATCAACGCTCCCAGATTCAGTACTTAATTTTATTCGAAAACATCCGCTTATGGATAAAGCCGTTGATCATGAACACGCGCAACCTGTTTTCTTCAAAAGGGATGTCATTTTAACAAAATTAGTTGTTGATAGGTAAGGTTCTATAAATATTATATGTATATACACATAAGTTTTATTTTGAAATAAGTCAGAATGATTCGAAATTAGAAAAAAAATAGGGCGATTTTCTTAGAAGAACCATCCTTCTCTTGTTTTATTTGAATCGTGTCCCATTAAATGAAGGGATCGATAGTTTTTTTGACGGAGGCGCGATGGAACTTACATTGAACAAAGGTTATAGCGCATATTAAATTAGATAATACAGTTTTTTTTATACTCGTCTTTACTGTATTGCAAGTATATTCAATTTGTCACTAAATATGTACAGTGTTAGAAAGTTTTGCCGGGTATATTGTTCAAAATTAGACAAACTACAAAATTATGTCGTCTCCCAATTTTGACGATGAATATATTAAGACCTGATGCCTTGACTTAAAACACAATTTCATCAAAACTACATTCGATTGTTACATTTTTTTTAATCATAAGTTTTCAGCTAAGTAAGTTATATTCTTGTTCAGATTCACGATGTAGCTTCGTCTTTCCGTCTGTTTATCTGTTGTTGACCGCTCATTTGAGAACTTTACAAGGTAAATATCTAAAGATATGCACAGAAACATAATTTGAAATAGAGAAAAATTGAACCACTAAAACCTATACCTCCCGTACGAGGTCCAAGATAGGAGTTTTAACGAAAATTCTTCAGATATGGTCAGAAAATTTTTTCTTCAGAGAAAAAATTGAGCCTAAATTCTTTTGTGCTTTATTTTTCAAGAATAATCAAGAATGTAGTTCAATAAAATTTTTATTTTATGGAGTAATTTCAAAATATTCCTTTTATGATAGGCTAACATTTTTATATCCAACGTGATTCAATTTCAATAAAGACCAAAATAAACTTTTTCCCTTGTTTTATTTTAAATTTATATAAAAAAAAATTGACTTTTGAAATACATGCGCTCGTACAGAATAGAATTTTTTAAATTAATATTTAAATTAACAATTTTATAGTTATTCAGAAAGCATAAAAAAATAACTTGGAAAATTTAAAATTTAATTTGGTATTATTTCCTTAAAACATAAATTTTTTATGATTTAAATTTTAAATTCCCAAATCGATATATAAAACAATAAAATAATAATTACTATACAATCATATATGAAACAAAAAAATTGAATTATAAAACCATTAAAATCACTGATAAAATATGCCCACACACCTCTATACGTACACACAATGTAATTAAAACTAAATTATCAAACTAATTTCCATTTGAATAGTCATCAATTAACTATAATTTTCCAATAAAAACAAAAAAAAATTTATATCAGCGATCTAGTTTAATAAAAATTCAATAATGCTGTTCAACAGAAAATATTTGATAACAAGTTGATGAAAACAGTTGAAGTTTTGATGAGCAAAAGTAATCGGAATTTGCAACAGAATTAATATTTGCACAAAAATAATGTGGTGTAATGTGGTGTTTTACATACATATACTAGTAATTTTGCTTTTTTCCTACTCCAAACCTTCAATTTACCACAAATTCTGTTTTTTTTTTTGTTATAAAAAATACAATGTAGGTCATGTTTTTATAATTATTTCATGGCAACATTACTTTTTTTTTAGAGATTTCAAACAATTATATTGAAAATTCATTTGATTAAAAGTGAATTAAAAGATTAGCATCTTCCGGCTCTTCGAATTAGGCAGAAGCTACAGCCGTTATTTAAATAGTTTCGAAAAATTTTATATTTTGTATTTTCTTCCGATAAAATTTAACTAAAGAGTTGACTTAATCATGAAATAATTTCTGAAGAGCAAATTGTTCCATATGTTCTTAAATTTTATTGCAAATATTTAAAAAACAAGTTAATTTTCATATTTTCCTAAAAAATGCAGTTTGTTCAATAATTTTCCATAGTTTTCAAGAACACATACTTCATTTTTTCCCATTTTCGGCTGCCATTAAAGAAACTGGTTCATTTTTATCAGTTTTTGTATTCCACATAGATAATTTATTCTTCTAACATTATAATCGCCTCTCCAGACAAAAACTTAAGTCTTCAATGAAACGCGTTTTTTTAGGAAGCATTTCAATAATAGTTCTATAACAGGCGGCTTAGCTGTGAAAATCTATTATAACCATAAAATTTCAAATCAAATACAATCTTCTTCCACTTTAGTGAGATGAAATAAGAAAGTTACAAGTAACAATTCAAATTTAAACTGAATATTGCCCTAACTCTTAATATTTTAATATATAATGTAGGCGAGTTTTGTAGCATTATCGTAATGAACATGAATATTTTAATCTAAACCTTTTTTTTTTTGAAAGATCTGTTTCAAATTATAAATTAACCTATTGCTTTTAAATTGAAATAAAAAAACCCCCAATAAGAGATCATAGAAGTTTTAATTTTTATAACATGTTGGGCAGCATAAAAAATTTGCATACAAATAATGGCCTTAGAGGAGAATGAAAATTTTAAAAGACATTTTAAATTTGGGTCTTAAAGTGAAATTAAAAAATAAGAGTTGGTCCTGCAAACTACAAGTTTCTTGCAAGCGCCGATCGCATAATTTGTAAATTTTTATTTTTTGTTTACATTATGGTTTATCTTTGTTTACATTATGGTGAAATTGGTAAATTTAGTATAGAGATGATTTTAACTTACTTACTGCATGGTATGTGGGACTTTCTGAAGAAATTCAGTCATTTTTCCTTGCTTTCACACTTTAATTTGTAAATCGGCATAAAATGCCATTTAATACTTTCTTCGAGTTTGATTCAATTGAGATTTTCAATAATTCTTTAAAAAAATAAGTCAAAAGTAAATTTCACTGTAGAAATCATATTTAATTTAAGAGTTCAATTAAAATTAATTACAATTATCCAAAATTAAATCTGAAAATTCAAATGGTATAAACGTAATGCGATTAGATATTTGATTGCAAACTGGAGAACAAGACAATATTCCAAATTTGTTTATGAGAAATAATTTTTAAAAATTTGGTCTGATACCTAAATCATTCAAAGTCATTTCCTGTCAAATTTTTTTTGCAACTCACTATAGAATTTCGTTTTTATTTATTCATTCTTAAATGTTGAGCATTTGAATAATTTTCTGTATACTCTGTAGGTTGACAAAAAAAAAAAAAGTTAAAACATTTTTTTATCTAAAACTTGTTAATAAAAGAAAAATCATTTTTTTTTTCTTACTTTTATTTTACAGGATTCGAATCGATAAATTAAATCAAGAATATTTAGTGTATTTTGTTGGTACAAATACTGGCAGCATATATAAAATTGTACAATATACAAAATTTGGTCAACGTCACTCCAGTTTATTGGATATATTGGATATAGCTAAAAATGAACCAATACGAGAAATGGGCATTAGTAAGAAAACAGGATGTCTATATATAGCAACGGATCATAGTGTCAAACAAATTGATTTAGCAATGTGTAATCGCCGTTATGATAGCTGTTATCGTTGTATACAAGATCCATATTGTGGTTGGGATAAAGATACAGGTGCTTGTAAACCATTTCAATTAGGTTTATATCAGGTGAGATTTATCATAAACTTTAAAAATATGATTAATGTTTTTTTTTATGTTGCCTGTATGTACAATTAATATTCGCATGAGTTCTATGACATTTTCAATAAGATTTGTAATTTTTCGCGTTCGAATAAAATAAGTTGATCAATATTTTTGTCTTCACTAATAGTAAGTATAGGAATCTATACCCGTAAGACAAATTAAATCATCTGAAACAAGATACAAAGCGTTATCCAACTGAACAATATTCAATTGATTTTTTTTATCTCCCCTAATGTTAACCAATTTTTAAGATTAATCTTTTTAATAGCAAAATTATGATTCATTTTTCAATTAACGTAATATTATATACATACATTCATTTAGATGTAGATATGTGTACAGTGTACATAAAAATGTTTTTGACATGACCTTGATTTAATTTTACATGTACAATTTTGTTTTGTTTTTTATATAATTAAACAAAAAATAAGACAACAATTTTTTTATTATACAGGATGTTGGAAATGAAACATCTGGCATATGTGATACAAGTGTCCTTAAAAAGAGAATAACAGCCTCATATGGGCAAACATTACATTTATCATGTTTTGTTCGTGTACCAGAAGTATTGCGACAAAAAAGTATTAGATGGTTTCATCATTCAGCTGAAAAAGGAAGGTAAGAAAAAATAAAATTTTTGAATGGAAAAATTATGATTTAGCATTTAAAAAATATAGGACACCACTAATAATCACACAAACTAATCAATTGTTTAATACTTCCAATAAATGAGAACTCATTTATGCTTAATTAATTAGAACATGACCGAATCTACCATAAATATTTTATATTTTCATTTCATTTAGGCCTGATTTAAGTCCTTATTATACTTTCCCTTGAAATACAATGCCACTTCGAAAAGACCTTTTTGCTTTCTTTAGTGCTTTTAAAACAAAATTCCCCATTCACAATTTCAACAACCAAAAAATGTTAAGGAATCTTAATGTGGTATTTACCAAAAGATTATTATTCCCGATTTTAATGTGGTAAACAACATTTTTCAATATATACTTGAAAAAAATAAGATCTTTAAAAATTCAGGTAACACAATTTAAACTGAAAAGTTTTTATAATTCGTATTTTAGCATTAACTGCATAAGTATGCAGAACCTCTATTTGCCATCCCTACTTTGTAATTTTCTGTTCACATTCGAAACTATGCCATAAAAAAATCGTATTAAAGATTTCAGGTTTTTAAAATCGAATTAAAATTATACGTCTACCTTTCTGGTTTTAATTTTTTATAATTAAATTTATAAATTAATTTAAGTAAAATGTCCTTGCTATTAGAATATTATTTTTAAATAAGGAATCAGGGAAATTGCACTTGACGTATTTTACTGCCAAAATTCCATTGTTTTATAATAATTTTTTGTTTTTGCTAAAATAATAAAAGCAATTTCTGTTAATTTCCTTTAACAATGATCTAGAAATTAAAATACTATGTACATCATACAATCTCTATGTGAAAATCTTAGGTATATAGAGTTCATGCTTTAAATTCCAAATTTTTACTAAACTTTGTTTTTTTTTCCTCATTTTACCATAATTCCTCTATAAAAACGTATAACAAGTATCATAAAACTTAGAATTTTAATTTCAAATTCTTTAACCTTTTATATAATATAATAATATGATGGTACTTTTCGTGTGTACAATATTGTCTATCGCATTTTACTTTATATTTTTTCTCTTAATCCTTTCTACAATTTTTAAAATGACAAAAATCTTTTAATTACACATTAAAATATTTTCTCATTCTAATTTTATTTTTTTTACTATTATATCCTTATATTTATGTACTAAATATATTTACATATATTTCTGTTATATTATATAACACTCTTATAATTTTACCATAAGACTGTATTATGCAACTTTAAAACTTACCAAGCATTCAAAGTGAAGTGTATAGTATATACTCGTACTTTATAAAGCTCTTGCATATATATGAGAGCTTTATGTACGTACCTACAATTTTATAGATAGCATCATAAAATACCTGCTTCTTTTTCTGTATATAAAAGTAAACAAATCAAATTAATTTTTAAGGTAAAATTATAAAAACAATAAAAAATAAGAAAACATTTTAATTTTCTTATACATTTTATGGATTTAAATGGAAGCAGCATAAACATTCAAAATAAGCGTAAACTAAAGAAAAAAAGGAGAAAAAAAATATTTAATAAAAAAAATTGAAATACTCAATCTATCGCGCGTCATATTTAAAAAATATCAAGATACAAATATATAAAAATAAAATCGAATGAAAAATAAGGATGAAAATATGAAAATTTGAAGAAAACCGTGAAGTAGAAGTGAGGGGGAACCAAAATGAAATATATTGAACTGTCTTCATTTAATACCACCGTCACAATCATAATATTGTAGCTTCTGGCTTAAAATACCATTTAAAATAACTGCTTGTGAACGCAACAAATGTCCTATTTTAATGAAAAACAATTTTCTTTCATTGTTAAATTTTCCTTGTAAACACCGTCTTCTTCTCCCTATTTACTATTTTCCTTCTATTCTTTTTTTTCTATAATAATTTTTCTATTCTTTAGGCTCTATATCTACTATATTTCTCACTTCATTTTTGAATATTATGTACGTGTAAAATTGTTTACATTTTATATAGATATACAAATATTATTTATATAAATATGTATCCATTGTGTGTATATAGCAATAATTTAGTATACTATATATAAAATTAACTGTTCAAAACGTCGTCTCTTCATCTTTCACAGAGAGAAATTGAAATCTAAATTTTGTTTTCTTTAAAACATAAAAATTTTTCTTATACTACCTACCCATTACGATTTTACGTCTCTTTCGTGTTTCTCTCTTGATTATTTTTGTTTTTCTTACTCTTTGCACAACAACTTCTTTCCTAAAAACGTCTTTTTTTGTTTACACTTTTTTGTTTTTTTCTTAAATGCTTATATTTTAATTTTAGATTTTTTCTAAATAGAAGAAAATCCATGCTCCCAAAATATCAAAATTTCCATCTAAAACTGTATAATCTAATATTATCCTGATATATCCTTAAAATCACAAAAATATAAGATAGGAAACAAAAAGAAAAAAATATTAAATAAAAAGCGGAAGAAATAGAAAATAAATATATAAAAACACAAAAATAATAACAAAAAACAACAAATAAAGAAAAAAAAATGTAAATGAAAATAAAAAACAAGAAAAAAAAAGAAAAATAATGGTTAAAAAGGATCTAAAAGTGCTTTATATTCTATTTACAGATACGAAATCAACTATACACCATCAAAATATATAGAAACATCTGAGGGTGGCCTCGTTGTAATTTCAATAAATGAAGGAGATGCAGGACGTTATGATAGCTATTTGGATGGAACACTTTTATGTAGTTACAGTGTTAACGTTGATGCTCACAGGTGGGTTTTATTACAAAACGGAAAAAAAAAACAAAAGCAAAACAGAAGAAAAAAAAAGAATCTTTTATTAATAAGAAGGAATAAAATTTGTGTACATAATTCGGATATATTAAACATTAAATATATAAGTTATAAATACATACACACATACTCTATGTTTATATGTGTATAACTTCAATTTCTTATCTAAAAAGACATTTTTATACCAATACTTTTGATTTCTATTCTTTTGTATGTGTATATATATATTCTAATTTACCAAACATTCCTTCAATATTGTTATTATATATCCTTAAGCTACAAAAAAACAAAATGAAGAAAATATTGAAAAAAAAAAACAAAAACCCAAGAATAATAACAAATTTATTCGTTTCTTAAATAAGGCGCGTCATCTTATCGGTGCTGGGATTATGGTTTAATTACACACTTAGAATATACATGAGAAAACGGAAAAGCAAAAAAAAACCAACAGAAAAAAAAAATTAAGAAGTACCCTATAATAATATGGGTATGTGCATATATGAACGCTATAAAAATTCTTGAACATAAACAGGTTACATTTTCGAAGACAAAAAGATAAAAAAAAATTCATAGAAAAAATACAGTAATTTTTAAATGGGGTAACTTTTAACATTCATGTTCCTAGTTATAATAAAATTCTCAAAAAAAAGGTCAAAATGAAAAATATTAAAAGAAATACTTGTACAGGAAGGTTCTCCTACACCAGAAAAGATTTCCTATTCAAGAAATTCATTCGTTCTTTCCAAAAGAACTTCAAAACTGAAAGTGTATAGTCTAAAGAATTACATGTAAAATCTTATACTATGGTAAAATTTTTGAGGAGAAATTCTTCTATTTGATTTTAAATTTTTTTGGTTTTTTTTTGGGTTTTAAAGCAGAGTTTTTTCTAAGATTTCGTTTTATCTATCTTGTTTTGTGTCTATGTGTACCTAGTAAACATTACGTCAGAAATTTCTAAAAAACCAAAAAGCTTTTCTTTTTTAAATAATTGCGATTACTACAAGAAGCAAAAATTTAAAATGTAAAAAGTAGCGCTGTATTAGCCAGTTAGGACTACATAATTCTAAATATAAATTTTAAAGACAGCAATCGAAGATTTAAATCCCCAGCTCTGATGTTCGTTAAAAATTTGTTTGTACCTTGTTTTGTTCAATAGTTTTAAATTTTAAGAGAATCTGTTAATTATTTCTGAACTATAGAACAAGCTAACTAACTCGTCGTATTATCACAAATCGTATTCAAAAAAATGATTAAACTCCTTTTAATAAATTTTCCTAAAATTTATTACTTTAAGATCTAAAATATCTACTTCAAGGTCAAACGACTTTTCAACAAAATCGGCTCGTTCGAAATTAAGATACTCAAATCAAATACAAGCATACCGAAACATCAAAATTTAGCTAAAAGTAATTTATTTGTTAATTGCCGTGATAAAAAAGCACAGATTTGTTTTGGGATTCTTTAATTCATTTCCGTTGGGAACCCAACATGCAAAATAATGCATCGCAATGTAAGAAAATATATTTATGGCCAGATCGTATATCTTGTTATTTCACTCGACAAGTGAGAAGAAAGTGAGTAACTATCATGATACTTGTATAATGCAACTTTCAAGTGAGAAAAATTATTCCGAATTGCTTATCTCGCTTTTTCCTAAAATATATATAAAATGTATTCACTTTGTTTTTGAAGGTGAGACGCTCAGTCGATTACATGGGAAAAAAAGCAAAAATCCGATTGAAAAAATGAGCAATCTTATTAGAAAAATTAAATATCCATTAGAAAAACCGAGAATTCTGATTTGAAAGTGAATACAGAGTGAGATGAAAAAGCGAAATAGTTCCAGTAGATACTTGATTGAATAATTAACATAGGAAGAAGTTCGACAGTTTGTGCTTTTCTATAAATAACACAAAAAAATTTGGGTTAATTTAGTGATTGCATTTTTCTTTTCAAACTAAATTGTTCACAATCACCCCTTTCAACTTTATGTTGTTATTATAAACACACAGTGCAAATATGTAGAAAATTATGTATAAGATACTAGTTGTGTATATACTCTATATATGTATATACACTTATGTATATTTACTTCTCAATATCATTTAGTATGTCATGTCTCAAGTTAACTTTTATCTTCTTGACGAAAATAAAGGGAACAAAAATTAACGTTTTCCTTTAATATTTTAAGTCTCGTATTCCTGAATTGAGTATCACTGACTATATTTGGTAGATGTTGTATAGGAATAAAGAAAAAATTAAAGCAAAAGGAGAACAACTTCAATATCTTCCCAGTCTACGTTATTATCCTTGATGTGATATGCCTTAATTAAGGACGTTGTTTTTTTGTCTTTTTTTTTCTTTTTTTTTTGGTATTCTACTTAAATTTTTTTATTGTTATTGTTTTTTTTATTTTTATTTTATTATAATGTCTGTGCTATTAAAATAAATATATGTATGTATGTTATAGGCACAATCATACAACATTTATAGAAATAATATTATTTGTATATCAAGTTGTGCAACTTGTCATTCGTGCTACATACGAAAGTATAAAAGAATAATTCTATTTATATTGAACGAGTATGTTTCTATATTGTATGAATTTATATGTGAATAATATTATACGAAAATATTTATTATATTACTACTTATATACATAAATTTCACACATATTTTATACATTTAAATGCATACACATACTTGCTTATGCCTCTGTCATATTTTCACAACGTTCGGTTATTGTTATTGTTCTAATATTATTTTTTATTTTTCTTCTTTTCTGATTTTGTATGGGTGTCTGGATTGACTTAAATGCGAATATATGGATTTAATGACAATGTCAATTTAGGTGTACGCCGCCAACTAAAAAGAATGACTACCAAAAAATTTATTCACATTGGTGTAATGAATTTGAAAAATATAAATCAGCCATGAAACAATGGCAGGAAAAACAAGAGGTAAGTGATTTATTGTTTTGAATTTGAAGTGGTCTATGATTTTAATAATAGGTAGCAATGACAGTTGAAGTGTTGTTAGTACAGTAATAATATTAATGTTTTTAAACGAATATACGTATACATAAATTTTATTATGTAAACATATACAGACAACCACACCTGTATTATGTATGTCTAAGTACATTATTTACGTATATAAAGTCCCGTATACGTATATTGCAGTACTATAAGTCTTCCACATGTGTTTAATTTTTTCGCGTAATTAGTGACGATATTATCAGTTTTTTTTTTTATTTTGTTAAGTCAAAGTGAAAACTTGAAATTTGATTCTGCGATCTTAATCTTTGTCTGTCGCAGTTTTAAAATATTTTTGCTTTTTTATTCTATGGAACGGAAAATCATTTAGTCAGTACATGTAAAAACACTTCATACTCGTATATAAAATTAATTTGTGATCTGCATACTGTAGCGTAGATATTATAACCATTCCTTCACATTCTAGTTGTAACTCCTAGAATCGTGAATATATTGTTAGTTATTGACAAATTATTTCGTTCAAATTGAAGCTAATTTGTATATGAATTATGCAAACTCAGAAATATGAAAATTTTATTTTTTTTTTCCTTAAGAACTATTATTTAAATTTTTCAAAACTTCAATCATCGCTTTTAAAGAGAAAGTATAGGGACTCCTATTCCTAATTAACTGATTTTTGGGCAGCCTTGTGCCTAAATTAAATTAATTGATAAACAAGTTAATTTTTATTAATTAGCTTAATTAAAATATAAGTTTAATTTTTAAAAAATTTTTACTTTCTGACTGCCCCTAAATTTATGCAAATTTATATCCAATTGTAAAAAAAATATTTCCATAACAATAAAAATGCAGGTTCTTGACGTAAATTATAAGAGCGAAATGTACCATTTTAGAAACCATAGGTTTTATCGAGTACATTTCTTTCATGCTTTATTTATTGCGGCAAAATTTACAATTACAAAGGTGCCAAAAATAAAATTAGATGAATTCTACTTAGGTATATGTGTTGTCAGTTGTATTTAGTATTTATGGTTGCATTTTTAATATTGCAACTATCGAATTTTAATTAAATATAGTGTTTACCAAGTAATTGATTTTTTCATTTGATTTTTGTTTTTGCACCAGCTAGATAAAAGCTAGTTTTATGTACAATTTATGCGCACAAGGTTGTTTAGATACCAAAAGATCAGATCATTAAAACATTTTAGTTTAATCTTAAATATTTTTTTCTCAAACGAAACAAAATGAAAATTCAACAAAATCTTAATTTATTCCACAGCAATGTCACGCAAAAGACAAAAAAGGTGTCAAACACATAAACGATGTTATAATTGATGATAAAATAGTCTGACCTAAAGGTAAGTTCTTATAAAAATTTTTCTAGTACCTATTTTAAAGTATGCTGAAAAAACGGATTGTAATTAGTGATATAAAAACTCTTGTTGCAAAAACCAGCCCATCTTTTGAATTGCAATACACATTTGTTATGTCACTTACAAATAAGATTTCCAGGAACATCGAATCAAACTGGTATTAAGTGATTCGAAAAAGAGCTTTTTGTTTCCTCATAACTTGAACAAACTTGCCGGATTTCCTTGACTTTCGGAAAATGAAGTTTCTTCCGAAAGGCTGTAATTCAAAAAAAAAATATATAAATTTTATAAATCTTTTCGAAATTTTATATTTCTAACAAAATTGTTGTGACCCCTTTAAAGCGCCATGTAATATTGCATTTCAAAAATACGAGTATAAAGTAGACCAATTACTGCTTATCATAAGAATCTTTTCTAATTCTCGCATTCAAAATTTTTTATATTAAAATTATTTTAAACCCAACATACTTTAAATTTAAAACCAGTTCTATATTGTATTCTTTTCCTTTACAGGCGAGTCATCGTTTGATAAAAGACTGACATTTTAGCTTTTCAAAGACAATATTTTAATTTATCTTTTATCAAATTATTATTATTATTATAATTTTTATTATTATTGTAATACTAGACAAAAAACAGAGTTTTAATTAAGCCACAAAATATGAAAAATGCTATTAATATTATTAAAAAAAAAAAAAACAAAAAAAAAACTACAAATACTAAGAACCAATAAGTTACTTTTTAAAAATGTAAAATAGAACCGAAATTTTAAAATGTAAAATAGCAAGTATAAAAGTTTATTTTACGAAAAAAAAACATCAGCTCAAAAATTTAAAAATAAAAAAAATCTGCTTCAATAATTGCGTAACGAAATAGCCAATATTTTGCAAATATTTGTTTTAATATTAAAACATTCTAAAAAATAATTAAATTATATAAGAATTTGTGTAGGAAGATTTCACAAAATCAAAATTATTTCATTTTATTTGAGCTTTGTTATACTTTCAGTTCTTCTAATATCCTTTTTAATCCTTATAGAATAAAATTTTTTGTTTCAAAATTCGAAAAATTGTAAATTTTTAGGAAAAATAAAACGAAACTTTCAAAATTTTTCACCAAAAAAGAGCACATGTCACGTTCCACATTTTATTAAAAAAAAAAATTAAAAAAAAGAAAAAAATATATTAAAAAAAAAAAATAAAATTTATTGAAAAAAATAAGGAAAAAAACAAAAAAAAAATTGAATTAATTTTAGTGATTTGGAAATTTAAATTGAAACAAAAAAAAACTAAAAAGAGTATTTAGGCTAGAAATTTTTGTAAACACAACAAAAAAAAAAAAGAAAAAACCAAAAAATTTTTTAGAAAACATTTTTTTTACACCCATTTTTTAATTAATCATTAAGTCGACAAAGTGAAAAGCTCAAATTTTATATTTGTTATTAAAAAGTAAAAAAATTAATTTAAAAAAAAAATGAAGAAGTTATTGAAAAAGATCTCATAAAATTTTTATGTCCTTTTTATTTTTTTTATTTATTTTTTTTTATATGTCATATGAACATCCTGTATGTATTTAACATTGAACTGTCAATGAGGTAGTTGTAGATTGCACATTGACTACCAACTGATGTAGTTTGTTTCCGCGTAAATATTCTACTATATAAATGTTTATGAGACTTTGAGGCAGATATTTTCACTGTATCAAAGTATGAGAAAAAGCATTTAAAACAATGTAAGCTTACTAATAAAGGCAAAATAAAAGTGATAGATTAAATAGAGAAATGTCTTAAGAAAAAATTCAATACTGTCAGCACATAACCAATTTCTTTGTTTGTCGAAAGCGTTGGCGCGAGATTATGAGTATATGCTTTATAATAGCGTTTTGGTGAATTAGCTAAAATTATGTTAATTTGATTTTTAATATAGGTTCACCTTATGCGATCCAATTTCCCTAAATAGTTCTTTAACTTCCGTTCGTTTACTTAAATTTTTTAAGTTCCGTTTACAAATATAATAAAAATATTAAAATTCAAAAAATTTTGCTGATTTGTTCCTTAGATTTGTTAATAGATGAAACATTTTTTCAAATTACGTGAATTTTGAAATTTTAGCCAAATTTACCTTCTAGGGAATAAGTGTTTATGGGATATTTCCATGATATTATGCAATTCTTTAAATATTCTGTCGATTTTTTGCTACTGACGTCAGATTTTCTTAAATTATTTAGCGGTTCTTATTAAAATTTCAATTTGATTTAATAGCTTACGAAGAAGGGCAATTTTTGCGAACAAATAAAAATATGTGCGTTATATTTTTGAAATATGTGTATTACGAGGGTCACTATTTATATTTCGGGTCTAGCAATAAAAAACAAACATTTATCATTGGAAATGGTTTTATTGTTTTTCAAAATATTCCCCATGAAGATCAATACACTTTTGCATGCGCTGAAACCAATTTTCGTAGCACTTTTTCCACTCCGATTGAGACACCTCCAAAACATGGTTTTTGAACGCATCGACTGCTTCTTCAGGTGTTGAAAATCGTTGTCCACGCATTTTTTTTTTGATGTGAGGGAATAAGAAGAAGTCATTGGGTGCTAAATCAGGACTGTACGGCGGATGACCCAACATTTTGAGTGCTCAAATAGTCCATTGTTTCAGCTGATTTGTGAGAGCTTGCATTGTCATGATGAAGAATGATTCGCCGGCGCTTGTTTGTTTTCCTTATTTCTTCGAAAACTTTCGGCAAACAGATGGTGGTGTACCATTCAGAATTGACCGTCCTACGTTCCACTAAAGGTACTGTGGCCACATGACCGGTTATACCAAAAAAAAACGCGATCATTTGCTTCGATGTGCTTCTTCCACGAACAACTTTTGTTGGATTTGGCTCGTCTTGGAACACCCATACGGTCGATTGTTACGTTTCGGGCTCATATGCATAGATACATGATTCATCACCTGTGACTATCTTATAAACGTCTTTTGACGCACCGCGATTGAATTTTTTCAACATTTCTTTGCTCTAATCGACACGAGCCTTCTTTTGTGCAATCGTCAAATTTTTTGGGATCCATCGACAACACACCTTTTTCACGGTAAGATGTTCATGCAATATCTTATGTACGCTGGTGGAACTAATGCCCAAGGATGCCTCAATCTCACAGTATGTCACATGCCGGTCCATCATTATCATTTCGCGCACAGCATCGATGGTTTCCGGAAAAACGACCGAAATTGGCCGACCTTCACGAAATTCATCCTGGAGCGAACGGCGTCCGAAACCAAACTCTTGGTACCAGCGATTTACAGTGGTTTTTGATGGTGCTTCATCACCAAAAGTCGAAACAAGTTGATCGAATGACAAAACGTTCTGAGTGAAGTTGTCCTAAAAAATGTCAAACTTTCCAATGGAAGTGTCAGATTGCACCTGGCAGCACTAGTATTGCCAGGACCCGATAAATTACATTCTTCACATATTATATTATATCATATTAATTTTGCATACATTTAGGATTAGAATTAGGAATTAATATTTATAATGGAAGAGTAAGGGGCATTAGGTTGTTCCAACTAAATTACTAAACATTTTATTTTCTAAATTATTAAGTTTTTTATTTCAAGCCTTGAACTCAACTTTATTTATGTTAACTCAAGTCATATAATTTTAACTGGAGTTAACATAAATAAGGTGAACTATAGGGTAAACAGACAACTTAGAAGTTAAATGATGGTTAAAAATTTCCGCCTAGAGAAACGTGTAATGATCCATTCAAAGTATAAAATTATTTTAATAAAAGTTTAATAAAATTTAATAAAAGTTTTAATAAAAAATTCAGATTCAGCGTTGTTGTCAACTACGTTATTGACAGTTTTTGATGTTTTTGATTTTGTTTATCTTCTTGTTGTGCTTTCTGTTAAATATTTTATAGTTTCCTTTTTCTTATACAACATATTAATAAATTATATATTTTTTATTAAAATATTTTGTAAATATTCCCCTTTCGTTATATTTTCGAAGCTACAATATAGTAAAAGTATATAATATAAATAAGTAAGTAATAATGATAAAAAGTAAATTTTGTAAATTTAAAATTTAATTGAAAATTAAGTCAAAAAACTATATAAGTAGAAATAATAAATTAATAAAATGAAAAAACAAAAAAAAAATAAAATAAAAATAAAATTTGCTGGTGTAAAAACAAATAAAATTTAAAAATATTTGAAATAAAACTTACAAAAACAACTCCAATTTAAAAAATATATATAAAAAACAAACAATAACTGGATAGCATTTTTATGTAATAAAAAAAATATATATATACATATATAAATATATATTTATAAATAAGCTTAAACTATATGTCTAAAATAGTGAAAGTGTATTTAGGTATATAAAAAATAGCATAGATAAAATATAATAAAGATAATAACAAAATGTAAATAAAAAAAAAAATTTATATTTAAAAATAAAATAAAAGTTATAAAAATTTTAACAGTTAAGCATAATAAAAAATGAAATACATCCAAACAAACAAACAAACAAAAAAACTATAATATTGTATAGCTATGTAAGTATATTAGAAATGATCTATAACTTTTAAACAATAATAAATAACAATAAAGTAAAAATAATAATTTTATTTATAGCGAAATAAAATAATTTTGTTCTGTAAATATTTGAACTTTAATTAAAGTAATATTGAAAAAAAAAAACAGAAAACAAATACAAACAAAAAAATATTTTCACAGAACTTTAGTAATTAATTACCGTTAGAAATATTTCAATGCAAAATACATTTATGTATGTATGTACATGTAAAAATGTATATGTATATAATTGTAATACAGTACAATGTATGTCATTATAACAGTGCCTCTTTATTACATGAGTCACAAACACGAATAACTGCAGAAACTAAAAAATGAAAATAGTAGAAATAACATACATACCTACATTATGTAATTAAATATATGTATGTTTAATTACATAATGTAGGTATATATGTTATTTAATTTCTTTTTTAATTCAGGAAGTATTTTTTGAAAACTATTGAATTACTCACGTAAGTAATATGTGAATCTTCACTATTAATTTCAAAATTGGGTTAACAAGCTATACTCATAGTGTTATATACATACATCTATTATTTTGAATTAAAAAAAAATTTATTTTGTTTTGTAACTTTTTATGCAAGATGATAAAATAATAATTAAATTTAAATAAATTGAATATATGCCACTTGAGGGCAATTTCAATTTATTCGCCGCTTTCATGATTTTTGACTTAATTAAGAACATTGTCACAGGTTGTCTGGGATGATCTTTCCGAATATGTTGTCCGTTTTTTGCTATCTTATTTAATTTTATACATACGCAGTCTTTATATTGATTAACTTCAAAATCGTTGGTGTGTGAATAAAATTTTCATACAGTTTTCGTCAAAAAATTTTAGACAGGAACTAAAAAAATTACGAAGACCCAAAGGAAAATGCAAAAATTTTAAACTTATGCGATTTTGGATTAATGGATCAAAATTGCAGTTTGTCGACGATTTCTAAACAAAAGAAGATATGCTTTTTTACTAGTTGTGTTAAACTCAAAGTCCGGGGATGATTCAAATCACAGTTGATGCACGCAATCTTCTATTGACAAAATTTCTATTATATTTGCTAAGAAAATATAAGTGTCCAAAACATAAAACCCATAGGTACTTGAGTTCTTAAAATGCGCAATTCAAACAGTTTGTTTACATGAAAAAATGATAAAAGTTTTAATTCAAAGTACTCATTTTGGAAAAATTTGTAAGCATATTTAATATTGTTATACAA